GTAACTTACTTATTATGTGTGTATATATATATATATATATATGTGTGTGTGGGTGTGGGGTATAGAGTAGAAAAAATGAGTTAATAACCTTTGTATTTTCAAAGTTTTTAGTTTAGTATCACTGAAGTGTTTTTCTGGTAGTAAATTTAATAAACAAAGCAATTTCTCCAGAACTTTTAAGAAAATACAAACATTACTGGGTGGAACTATTTAGACTTAAAATACACAAAACTTGACTTCTCCATAATAAATAAACAAAATATAAACTGAACACAAGAAGTCTTCTTGGGATTTAAAACTGACAGAACAAGCAAACTCTAAAAAAAGGAGAGTAAAAATATGCACAAAAGAAAAAAAGATTATCCTAGCTACCAGAAATTCTTGGTTTCTTTTTCTCTGGGTACTGAAATAATGGTCAGAAAAAACAAATTTTAAAAAGTTGACAACTTCAGAAATTTTACTGAAATCATAATGGATGAATGAATGAATGAAAAAGGAGCAAATTAATGAGTTAAAGCTTGGATATTAAAACTAAGATATTGACCACTTATGTTTGTTAAATGTTTTTAATATTCATTTCATGTTAAGAAAGTTTCTGATGTAAGAAATTTTATACTGAAAAAAGTACACTGAATGAAATAAATGATATTAATAGAATGATAAATATTAGACTGTGGTAAAAGAATTAGCTTCTTATATCTGGGTCATAAGTAAGAAATACACTAATAAACATATTCACAAACATACATGGCAGCCAGAGGCATTGCTAGGTGCTGGAACATGGGGCCTGTGTCACAAGTCTAGTTGACAGTGCCCTGAATCCCCAGTTGGTGTCTTGAAAAATCAGAATAAAAAACCATGATTGATATCATACTGAAGCCCCAAAAATTCCCATGCCTAAGAGCCAAATCCCCAAATCTTTGAAGCACCTAGAGACACTGCTGGTGGCAGCATTCAAACTGACAACATGTGAACATTTATAATAAAGGGAGACTTTGAGGAGACTGGCAGTGGCAATCTTCTGAACTTCTAGCTTTTTAAAAAAAACAAGAGTTCAAAATAAGAGACTGTGTTAATATGATTGAAAGATTTGTTTTAATAGTTAAGATATTTTCAGCACCAGGACAATATATTGCAGAAAAAAAACAAAAACCTCTTTGACTGACTGTGTAACAAAGATGTACAGCAATGAATTCTTGAATAACAGATTTTGATATTTGATGAGTTAAAAGAAATATTGGATTTCCTTGTACTTAGATAGTTCCCATTGTACTAAAATATTCTTGGTAAGAACACACACTTCATAAATTTAACAAGGTTATAAAATATTACTTTTTTATGATTTGTAAAGTACTATTTGTTAAAATATAAATACCGTGGTACCTCAGAAGGTGTGTGAGATAAACAGTGGTATATATGTAACTTTTGTTAAGAATAATACTTGAATCCAAGTTACTAACTAAAGTTTTACAAGAAGGAATCTGAGCATTTCTGAAACCAGTACCAGCTTGATTTCTTTTTTGTTAATATTCTTTATTCTCTTTTTTTTATTAGGTGTATGTTTGTTTGTTTTTTATAAAACTCAGAGGACTTCTTTTCATGAGCTTAAATTTCTTTATTTGTCATGACAAAATTGTTGCTCCAATACATATTTTCATGATTTAAGTTTTAAATTTAAGAACTTAAAGTTTTATAGCTTCTCCACTTCAGGTTTCTTTTAAGAAACATACTAAATATTTATAGCTACACTTTGCTGTACTTTTGCTTAATTAGTTAATATCGAAATTCATCAAACTGGTTGGGTTACAACAACCATATATTTAACTTTAAGTTTAAGATGTACTGTTTAAATTAGAGTAATTATGAATGAAGAATTATAATTTATAGTACATCAATTAAGTATTAAAAAACAATCAATGTCTGTCAGTATCACTTAACTGTAACAATCATAATGCAGTAAATAAAAGTGCTTTCAATAATTGTTTCACAAAAAGAAAATGCTAGGACTGGTAAATACTCTTACATGTTTTGTTGTTCGGGGGTTCATTGACTGATTTAAAGTACTTGGTGAATATAATGTGAAGTTTAGTCTACGTAACAGTATTAGTTTATTTCTTATTTCCTACGACGTCTCTAACAGTCTAAGTCTAATTTAGAAGTCTAAGCGAAGTTGTAGGCCTAACTCAGTTAGTAACTGTACAAACAACGTTTCAAAACTAATTCCACAATTAAATCATGTAGACCTACACTTAAGGCTTAAGCGCGTTTCAATATAAAATTAAAACTACCAGATATATGCCTCCTTCAGTTACTACTTTGTCGGAGAATCAAATACGTAACTCACAACGTCACTGAATAATCATTTACTATCTCTGAACTGTCTACTCCTATTTACATCTATATCCTCGTTTCTAAATTCTAGGTGCTTCCCTCAGCCTCTCCATCATAGCACAATTATTACAACCAACAGCTCTCTCTAGCAAACAATTAATTACAACATTGAAAATGCAGCTTAAAACAATACTATTATATTGTTACATCTCCGTTCGTTAGTTAATTTTCCCGTAAATTCTTTCCGACTAAACTTTAGCGACACAAGTCCTTTCTTAAATAAAACTGGTTTATTCTTTCGGAATACAACTTTACGATACACTTAATTTCAACGCGATAATTCACGCCTCACGTGGCCAACAATATTCTGTCCGCATACATTCAATTGCTCATTACACTGTTGTTTCGTCACGTTGTGACCGTCTTATATATATACCAGCAACCCCCAATCTAGTAGTCTCCCGATAATTCATGAAGGATCGAGAAAGACGTGGCGTGATACTAGTCACGTGACCTCGCTGACGCAACAATATGAACAAGCGTCATTTTTAATAGCAGTGAAAATCACACTGTACTTTTGCCTATATTTAAATGTATAATGTTAAAGCTCTCTGGTAGCTTTGCATGAAATTAAATAAATAAGCAAACAAGTTTGTTATGCATGATACAATAATCCCTAGTGGAGTCCAGTGCTAAAAAGTCACCATACTCAGTTACTAATGTGAAGATGGGGCAATTATTGCTGCACTACAATAGTTCAAAGTTTTGCTTAAATGAAATTGGGAGACATATTTCACTTGCTCTGCGATTATATATACATTTTTCATTCCTGTCTTACCTTAGAGTAGTTGATAATGTAAAACACCTTAAACTAGCAAAATATTGTTTAGGATTTTGCAGTAGTACTATTCAGCATTGTTGTCAGGATATTACTTTTTAGTAGTGTTAGATAGCTGCTCGTTTGTTAATTTCCGGTATAACTTCTTTCCGAGGAACTTCAGTGATACAAGTCCTTTCTCAATT